ATGTTGTTTAGTGATGTGTTGTTTAGTGGTGTGTTGTTTAGTGATGTGTTGTTTAGTTGTGTGTTGTCCGGTGGTGTGTTGTTTAGTGGTGTGTTGTTTGGTGGTGTGTTGTCTGGTGGTGTGTTGTTTAGTGGTGTGTTATTTAGTTATGTTTTGTGTAGCGATGTTTTGTTTAGTGATGTGTTGTTTAATGGTGTGTTGTCTGGTGGTGTGTTGTTTTGTGATGTGTTGTCTTGTAATGTGTTGTCTTGAGGTAGTGTGTTGTATTGTACTCTGTTGTGGATAGGTGTCTTGTCATGTGATTGGGGTGAACGCATCCTCCTAGCTTGGTGCTTCTCTTCATTGGAGGGGATTGCAAACTTTTCCCTCAAAGGCACTGCTGCTTAAGCCGCTTCATCTGCTCCTAAAAATAAAATTGGCTGGAAATTTGTTTTGTGATTCTGTGGATCAGTTTTGTCTGTCTTCCACCTCTCTCTATTGTCACCACGGGCATTGAGCTGGGTTTTTTCTCCAGTTGGATTAAGCTTAGGAAAATCCGAGCTAGTCGCTAGTCAAGAGTCATTGCTTTTTCCACAACAATTTTCTGTTGATAGGTTTAGGGTGGGGGATAGGAATGGTGATGGCGAGGATTCTGATGATAAAATTAAAAGACGGAGAAAAATTTAGAGCATTGTCAATTTTATTTGTGACAGTGTATACACACTGGGGCAGTGGGTGGTTGGAGGGTGCCACTGGTAGGTTCTACGTCTTTTCTTTCCTTCACTTGGTCTGTGTGTCTGTCTTACTTTTTTCATAAACTCAGTGACCATTATCAACTCAATGTGCCTCTCGTCTAGCAAACAAACATAAGACTATATTTCTCGAGCCAATTTTGCCTTCAGAAGAGACCTAGGGATGCTAACAGCTTTGTGCGTGCCACTGTATGTGTTTTTTTTTCCACGTGTTGTTGTGTGTCCCTTGTAAGTCTGTGCTTCTTTTGTTGTTTTTGTTGTTTTTTTGTTTTGTTTTTTGTGCCTTTTTTCTGCTTGATGATTATGGAGCTAGTTGCGGGAAAATACCGTATTGCCGTAGGCCTTAACAGCATTAATGCCTTATTGCAGACCAGTTAAGAAGACAGTGTATGGAAAAATAAAACAAAATGTTTTCTCCCGGGAAGGGGCAGAAAGTGGTTTAATCTCGAAACATCTTTGTTTAAAAATGTTTTTGGGTTTTTTTTGGGTTTTTTTTTTTTTTTTTTTTTTCTTTTTGTTACCATGCTATTTGAATTTGATGGGGTTTTTTTTCAATGTTGAAATAATTGGAAGGAGAAAAAGGAAGTACCCTGGTTGTGTTTAGCGACCCTTTGGTTGTAGCAGTCACTGTGGCTGGGCCGTTCTACACTGACGAAGACCTCATCAGTATTTTTACTGTCCCCGAGATTTTATGCACCCCGCATAATTTAGCTAAATTTAATCATTCTTTGCATAATTTCTGATTATTTTCCTTTATCATTCTTTGTTAAAATTAACAGTATTGCATAATTTCTTATTTTTGGGCTCAGTTTACATAATTTCAGAATTATTTTTGCCTAAAACAACGGGGACAGACTGTATCAGCTGGTGACATCTCAGGCAAACTTACTAGGTCCTACCTCTTTCTATAAAACAAATGTGATGATTCTTTAGGAAGTCTCCTAGGTTGCCGAGATTTTTCTCAGCACTTTGTTGGAATTGAAAGAGGAAGATTGATATTTAATTAAAAATGTTTTTGTTCATTGGAATTTAAAAAAAAAATTTAATTAATTTTTTTTTTTGCGGTTTGTGTCATCCGGATGTTGCGTTCTCTTTTTTTTTTTTGGCTTGATTACTTTTTTCATGTTGCAGATTTGTGGTATGTGGAAACGTTCTTAGCGGATTATAATTAAAAGTTTTTCTGCGTTTGAAGACATGTTTTTAATATTGGCCAGAATAAATTCTGAATTACCGATGCCTGGGACAATAATAATATTATTACGCTTTTGCGTTTCTAAAATTAGAAATAGGTTGCATGCGTTCTCCTTCTTTGCATGTCGTCGTGTGACCCCACCTCACATTCCCACCCTCACGGACTCTTGTGTTTTTACATTTTTGCTGTGTGGGTGGTTGGTTGGCGGGTGCTGCGGTGCAGTTTGCTTCTTCTTTCCTCCTATCAAACGTCTATTGTCTTTATCTCCCCTCCTGTCAGACATCTTTCGTCTTTATCTCCCCTCCTTCTTTTTTGTGTTTGTTACTGTCTTGTAGCACCTCTAATCTTCCGCTCTTATTGTATGATCTTTTTGTGTTGCAAGTGCCGCAAAACACTTACGAAAGCTAAACATCAGACTTATATATTCTTCTTTTTTCATCAGTGAAATTTATTCAGTTGTGAGTGTGTGTGTGTGTGTGT